ATCTCCGTCTCCGTCGTGGTCTCCACCTCGATCGTGCGCACCAGCTCGCCGCTGGTGGACTTGGAGATACGCGTCGTCGTCTTCACCGTCTTGGTCACGATGCTGCCGTCGGCCTCCTGCGACTGGAACACCTCCGTCTGCACCGACTCGCCCGGGGCCGCGCCGGCCTCCACGGTCGAGCGGATGGCGCGAGCGCCCGACACCGACGTCGTGCTGCCAGACGTCACCGCGCTCTCCTCGGTCTCCGTCTCCTCACGCGTCTCCGTCTCCACGGTCGTGCTCTTCTCGCCGGAGGTCATCTCCGTCTCCGTCGTGGTCTCCACCTCGATCGTGCGCACCAGCTCGCCGCTGGTGGACTTGGAGATACGCGTCGTCGTCTTCACCGTCTTGGTCACGATGCTGCCGTCGGCCTCCTGCGACTGGAACACCTCCGTCTGCACCGACTCGCCCGGGGCCGCGCCGGCCTCCACGGTCGAGCGGATGGCGCGAGCGCCCGACACCGACGTCGTGCTGCCAGACGTCACCGCGCTCTCCTCGGTCTCCGTCTCCTCACGCGTCTCCGTCTCCACGGTCGTGCTCTTCTCGCCGGAGGTCATCTCCGTCTCCGTCGTGGTCTCCACCTCGATCGTGCGCACCAGCTCGCCGCTGGTGGACTTGGAGATACGCGTCGTCGTCTTCACCGTCTTGGTCACGATGCTGCCGTCGGCCTCCTGCGACTGGAACACCTCCGTCTGCACCGACTCGCCCGGGGCCGCGCCGGCCTCCACGGTCGAGCGGATGGCGCGAGCGCCCGACACCGACGTCGTGCTGCCAGACGTCACCGCGCTCTCCTCGGTCTCCGTCTCCTCACGCGTCTCCGTCTCCACGGTCGTGCTCTTCTCGCCGGAGGTCATCTCCGTCTCCGTCGTGGTCTCCACCTCGATCGTGCGCACCAGCTCGCCGCTGGTGGACTTGGAGATACGCGTCGTCGTCTTCACCGTCTTGGTCACGATGCTGCCGTCGGCCTCCTGCGACTGGAACACCTCCGTCTGCACCGACTCGCCCGGGGCCGCGCCGGCCTCCACGGTCGAGCGGACGGCGCGAGCGCCCGACACCGACGTCGTGCTGCCAGACGTCACCGCGCTCTCCTCGGTCTCCGTCTCCTCACGCGTCTCCGTCTCCACGGTCGTGCTCTTCTCGCCGGAGGTCATCTCCGTCTCCGTCGTGGTCTCCACCTCGATCGTGCGCACCAGCTCGCCGCTGGTGGACTTGGAGATACGCGTCGTCGTCTTCACCGTCTTGGTCACGATGCTGCCGTCGGCCTCCTGCGACTGGAACACCTCCGTCTGCACCGACTCGCCCGGGGCCGCGCCGGCCTCCACGGTCGAGCGGATGGCGCGAGCGCCCGACACCGACGTCGTGCTGCCAGACGTCACCGCGCTCTCCTCGGTCTCCGTCTCCTCACGCGTCTCCGTCTCCACGGTCGTGCTCTTCTCGCCGGAGGTCATCTCCGTCTCCGTCGTGGTCTCCACCTCGATCGTGCGCACCAGCTCGCCGCTGGTGGACTTGGAGATACGCGTCGTCGTCTTCACCGTCTTGGTCACGATGCTGCCGTCGGCCTCCTGCGACTGGAACACCTCCGTCTGCACCGTCTTCGCCGGAGTGCCGGCCTCCTTAACGGAGCGGGTGGCACCGGCTGATTGCTGCGTAGTTGAAGTTTCACCCTGGCCCGCAGCGGTGTGGCCCTGGTGCATGCTCTTGCCCTGCATTTCTGTCGTCGTTTCGGTCTTGACTGACGTTGTCGTCTCTCCGTTTGTAGCTGTCGTCTCCGTGGTCGTCTCGACCTCAACCGTCGTGACGGGCCCGCCGGTCGGGCTCGTGGTCGTGCGCCGCGTGGTCTTCACGGTCTTGACGACGACGCATCCGTCGGGCTCCTCCGTGCGGAAGACCTCGGTCTTGACGTCCTCCGCGGGCGTCTTGCTGGGGTCGCTCGGCTCCGTCTCGGGCTCGTGCGGCGTCTTGCCGCTGCTCTTGCGCTCGCTCACGGCCTCGAAGTCCGTGACGGGCGTCTTCCCAGCGGAGGTCGCGGTCGTGTACGTGGTCACGCCGCCCTCCACCGTCTTCTTCACCTGCGTCTGCTTGGCCGCCGCCTTCTTCTTCTGCTTGGGGTCCATCTCGGCCGATTCGGCGCCGCCCATGGCTGTTCACGCGAGACACTCAACACTCAACACTGGACACTCACACACAACACGCTGCGCTGCGCGGTGGCTCGGCTTGCTCTCGCCCGTCCGCACTCGACTGCTCCCGAGCGCGCAAAAGCGAATGTGAGGGAGGGCCTTCAAGCACGAAGGAAGATCGTCGAGCACACACACGTCAATTGGCTCGGGAAGCGGACATGGACGGGCGTCCGGAACCGTCATGTTTTGCAAATCAGGCTTGAAGCTCTCGACCAATCAGAGGCCCCGGCGTCACTGGTCAGCGCAGAGCGAAGCCAGGTGCCATAGAGCTTGCGCGCCTGCAGCGGCTATGGAGACGATATCCGGCCCGGCACCGCGGCGTGCGCATGCTGCTCAGCGCGATGCGGCTTGGATCGCGGCGTGCGCTCGCTCGCGCGGAGGCGGACAGCAAGGTGGTGGCGGCAGTGGCCATGGTGCTTCGTGAGTGTGTGCGACCGCAGTGACCGCACGTTTGCCCCGACACTAGAGGTTAGAGCGGAGACCGAGCTCGGAGAGCTGGCCTGCAGCGCTGCTGATCCGCATCATTGCTGGGTGCTGAAAAAATGAGGCGCGCCTCGTTTGATGGCCCTGGTCGTGGGCGGACCGACATGCCAGGCTCGGTTGGTGACCAGCAGTGCAGGCGAGAGAGTTTGCGGCCAGCGACTCAGGTCTCAGTTGCCGCAGCTGGCCCGAGCTAGGACATGATGTTGAAGTCGCCGCTCGCCCCCGATCGGGGGGCTGTCCGGGTCGCCGATGGCCGGCGACCAATCCATTCGTCTTCGCTCGACGTCTAGGCCGCTGCGGCCGTGCTGGAGGCGCTGCAGGTATGTACGAATGGAAGGGCGAAAAGAGGCCTGGCGACGGACACTAGCAGCCTGCGAGAACGTTCCTCGGGCCACACAAGGGCGGACGGCATGCGACGGCCAAGGCCGGGCAGGAGGGCCCTGAGCGCGGGGCCGACCAACGAGCCTCGTTGGCGGTGGCACGCGCGCTGGGCTAGCGGGGTACGCCGCTTGCTTCCTAGGTGTCTGGTATCTGCTACGCCGGACGGGTAGCAAGAGATTGAGTGCAAAATGGACTTGTCGAGCTAGACTATAGCTCCTCGACGAGTCTACCTTATGCGCATACATTGGGCTTCGAACCGGTCATGGTGACACCCCAGCGCTTGGAGCAATGTGCACGCAGTAAGGCATTGGATCTGCACCGCCGTCACGCCGAGCGCTGCATGCACATGCTTGGGGGCACGGCAGTAGTGCGCACACATTTGATGCCACCAAAGCAGCCACCGAGCGTCAAGTGCGAGCCCAACCTTCTGGCGCCTTGCCAGCGTTCGCCGCCCGGAACTGGCCCGCGCCGCCCCCAAATGAGATCGTTAGTGCTCTCGAGCTTCTCGCTCGCCCATAAGTTCTTGGCCCTGATTTCGCGGCGGTACCCCCCCCCCCCCCTGATGGCTACACCTGTCGAAAGATTTGCGAGCTTCGCTTCACTCACTTCACTTTGGAGATTCCCGGCGAGCAGCGAAGGAGAGCGCGAGAACCCGACGCGTCGATGGGCATGGGCAGCCCCAACAGCAAGGACGAGGGCGGCCGCAAGACGGCGCGACTGAGCAGCGACGGAGACGGCGGGCGCCCGAGCTTCGGCTTCGCGGATACGGGCAGCAGCCAGAAGGTCCTGAGCTTCGACGAGAGTGGCGAGCGCGCGCGCGTCGACCTGATCGAGGACCACTACGCGGGCGAGAAGAAGACGGACAAGGCGGGCGCGCAGCCCCAGGAGGGCACCAGCGTGCAGACGCAGGTGTTCCGCTCCGAGCAGGCGGACGGCAGCGTCGTGACCACGACGGTGCGCACGACGAGGACCACGACACGCTCCGACGAGGGGGACTACGTGACGGCCACTGAGGTGCTGACCACGACCGAGACGGAGTCCAGGGACGGCGCCAAGAGCACGGCGGTCGCCACGGAGACGAGCACGGAGACCGTCTCCGGCCAGGTCGCAACCTTCTCCGACGGCGAGACCGGAGACGACGTTCAGACGCAGGTGTTCCGCTCGGTCGAGGACGACGGAAGCGTCGTGACCAAGACGGTGCGCACCACGAGGCGCACGGTGGTCACGAACGGCGTTGCCACGACTTCGGTCGAGGTTCAAACGACGACGGAGACGGAAGCCACGGACGGTGCTAAGAGCACCAGTGTGTCCACGGAGACGCACACGAAGATGGGCGGCAGCAGCAGCTCGATCTCCGAAACGGAGGAGAAGGCGCAGGCTGCTCTCGAGGATGACGTGGAAAGTGAGCACGGAGGCCGCCGTTCGTTCATGTTTGGGAAAAAGCGAAAGTACCACAAGCAGTGGCACCCGCACTTTGTGTCGTATCTGGACCGCCAGGAGAAGCGCGCCGAAGCTCTCTCTACGACGGATCTGCTGGAGTATGCGCGTGCGTTTTGCGGTGAAAGCTTTACGGAGTTCCGTCCGGAGCTTTTCAATGGCGAGTCAAGCGAGGAGAGTAAGATGTCCTGGGAGGTGGTGGCGCAGCTGGCAGTCCACTATCCAATGGTGGCCGTGCAACTGCTAGCGCACGATGTTGGCAAGAAGAACCTGCTCATTATGGACGAGGTTACCCAGGGGTTCGACAGCGAGAACCGTTTGCGCAAGGAGGTAGCGGTGTCCATGCTTGGGCACTCGATGACGGACGCCTTCCAAGTGTTTGACGACCTTCTTGTTCTCAAGAACGGGGAAGTGGTTTACCATGGGGCTGGGGAAGATATCGTGGAGTACTTCAGCGACTTGGGCTACCAGTGCACTCCGGGCCAACGAGTCGGGCAATTCTTGCTCAACCTGGCAGCAGAGCAAAAAGATCGTTACCGTATCTTGGTGCCCGCTGAGGGAAAGCCCGACGGCAGTGGCAGCCACTTCGTTAAAAACTTTGCTGTAATCATGAAGTTCGCCGACGATGCTGCGCTAGTCGCTGGATCATCTGGATCCATCTCTTCTCAACAACCCAACGCGCGGAATCCGTTGGCAGATGCTTCCTCTACCCACAAAAACCACAACGAAGACTCCACTACGACCAACATGAGCGTGACGGAGCAGGCTGGCTCGTCGCCGGGCGAGTCGGTGAAGACCGAGGTGTTCCGCTCAGAGGAGGCCGACGGCAGCATCGTGACCAAGACGATCCGCACGACGAGGCGCACCGTGAAGTCTAGCACGGGCGCGCTGGTGACGACGATCGAGGTGGAGACGACCACGGAGACCGAGTCCACGGACGGCACGACGAGCACGACGGTGGCGACGGAGACTCGCGAGGAGACGGAGACGGAGGAGAGCAGCCTCGCGACGACGTCTGCGTCGGACGCTACCGCCGTGGGCGTGACGGAGCAGGCTGGCTCGTCGCCGGGCGAGTCGGTGAAGACCGAGGTGTTCCGCTCAGAGGAGGCCGACGGCAGCATCGTGACCAAGACGATCCGCACGACGAGGCGCACCGTGAAGTCTAGCACGGGCGCGCTGGTGACGACGATCGAGGTGGAGACGACCACGGAGACCGAGTCCACGGACGGCACGACGAGCACGACGGTGGCGACGGAGACTCGCGAGGAGACGGAGACGGAGGAGAGCAGCCTCGCGACGACGTCTGCGTCGGACGCTACCGCCGTGAGCGTGACGGAGCAGGCTGGCTCGTCGCCGGGCGAGTCGGTGAAGACCGAGGTGTTCCGCTCAGAGGAGGCCGACGGCAGCATCGTGACCAAGACGATCCGCACGACGAGGCGCACCGTGAAGTCTAGCACGGGCGCGCTGGTGACGACGATCGAGGTGGAGACGACCACGGAGACCGAGTCCACGGACGGCACGACGAGCACGACGGTGGCGACGGAGACACGCGAGGAGACGGAGACGGAGGAGAGCAGCCTCGCGACGACGTCTGCGTCGGACGCTACCGCCGTGAGCGTGACGGAGCAGGCTGGCTCGTCGCCGGGCGAGTCGGTGAAGACCGAGGTGTTCCGCTCAGAGGAGGCCGACGGCAGCATCGTGACCAAGACGATCCGCACGACGAGGCGCACCGTGAAGTCTAGCACGGGCGCGCTGGTGACGACGATCGAGGTGGAGACGACCACGGAGACCGAGTCCACGGACGGCACGACGAGCACGACGGTGGCGACGGAGACTCGCGAGGAGACGGAGACGGAGGAGAGCAGCCTCGCGACGACGTCTGCGTCGGACGCTACCGCCGTGAGCGTGACGGAGCAGGCTGGCTCGTCGCCGGGCGAGTCGGTGAAGACCGAGGTGTTCCGCTCAGAGGAGGCCGACGGCAGCATCGTGACCAAGACGATCCGCACGACGAGGCGCACCGTGAAGTCTAGCACGGGCGCGCTGGTGACGACGATCGAGGTGGAGACGACCACGGAGACCGAGTCCACGGACGGCACGACGAGCACGACGGTGGCGACGGAGACACGCGAGGAGACGGAGACGGAGGAGAGCAGCCTCGCGACGACGTCTGCGTCGGACGCTACCGCCGTGAGCGTGACGGAGCAGGCTGGCTCGTCGCCGGGCGAGTCGGTGAAGACCGAGGTGTTCCGCTCAGAGGAGGCCGACGGCAGCATCGTGACCAAGACGATCCGCACGACGAGGCGCACCGTGAAGTCTAGCACGGGCGCGCTGGTGACGACGATCGAGGTGGAGACGACCACGGAGACCGAGTCCACGGACGGCACGACGAGCACGACGGTGGCGACGGAGACACGCGAGGAGACGGAGACGGAGGAGAGCAGCCTCGCGACGACGTCTGCGTCGGACGCTACCGCCGTGAGC